GAGGGGCTGGAAGACACAGACCCCACGGCAGCTACAAGTCCAAGCCTGCGCGCAGACGGAGCTGTCTTACAGGAGGCGGGGCGGGGCGGGGCCAGCCCGGCCACAGGGCAATTGCCTGGACTACAGCAGGGCGGGAGAGAGGTGGACGCAATGCTGACAGACAGGCAAGGCAGGCAGACAGACAGACAGACCAGACAGACAGGGCAGGCAGGTACGCAGACAGACAGACAGAGGGCAGGCAGGCCGACCAGCATCTTGACGGTATGAGCTATGAGGAGCGAGCCTGGCCCCAGGTCTCTAGCTAAGTAGCGGGTTAGCAGCCAGTTGGGTGAACTCATTTTGGGGTGCGTTAGGGGTTGAGGGCAAACCAGCCCAGTGGAAGCGTAGATCTGATGGGCCGATCGCGAGATTCTCCATGTCCTGCCTCTGAGTTCCCTGGAATGTGCCGAGTTCCTTCGTCAGTGGGTCACTGAGAGATTGGCGCACGTTCTAGAACCTTCCATAGAGGCGTGTGCGTGCGTGCAGGCCTGCGTGCGTACACTTGTGTGCACACACCCCTGGGTGGTGTGTGTAGGTGGTGAACAGTTTGAGAATTCCCCCAGGGGTCAATGTGTTCCCGTGCGTTGGGAGCTCTCTTCCTATCTTTCCCTCTTTTTTGTGTGTGTGTCAGACCTGGGACTTGAACTCAGGGCCTGGGGCGCCATCCCTGATCCTCTTTGTGCTCCAGGTTGGTGCTCTACCACGTGAGCCACAGCGCCACTTCCGGCCTTGATTAGTTTCTTGAAGATAAACTCACAGGAACTTCCCTGAACTGAGAGTCTCAAATCTCAGCCTGAACCGCTGGGACTACAGGCGTGAGCCATAGTGCCCGGCCTTCCACCAGAATCAAAGCCCGATGGGTCAATCTGTCCACATTCAGCATCTCCCCAGCTCTGGAAGGGTCTGTTTTTCCTGGGTCCCCAGGAAGATGACAGGCGGAGACTCACTGATGGGTGGTGTGGTCACTTTGGGGAGACCATATTTACTGATTTGGACTAACCATATGCTGATAACATCCCCCAGTCTTATCTTATGATCTCGATGGCCTTAGTACAGGTGTGTATGTGTGCCAGGCTGGGGTTGAGCATCTCATGAACTTGGGGGGGGGAGGCGGAGGAAACTGAGTCATGAGGGCGGGCTTTCTGGGGGGAGGGAGGTACCAAGGCATTGGTTGCCCCATGCAGGTGTGGGAGTGGAGGGCAGGGCAGGCCGTTCAGGGTTAAGATCTCGGGGTCTTCTTGCCCAGCCCGTTCCCCCCCCACAGAGGAAGTCACACCTTCAGACCAGGCCGGAAGTTGAGGGGTAGCTGGGGGGTGCAGGGCACCCTGTGACACCCAGCTTCCTGCCCCTCCTCGCCCCACGCCTCTGGTAGTCAGCCTGATGGACCGGTTCTCTTTCCCTCACTCTGCTGGTGGTGTCGGTGTCGGTGTTGGGGGAGACTGGGGGGCCTGCTCCCCACTTTCACCCCATGGGGTCCAGGCCTGGCTCCACCCCATCCCTTCTTGTCCCCATTTCCTGGAAGGCGGTGTGGAGGGGGGCTCTGTGGGCTTTTTGTGGGTAGCCAGGGAGGGTGGAGGTGTGGGGGGAGGGTAGGAAGGGGGGAGGCCCTGTTTACCTGGGGGTCCCCCCAAAAAGCCAGAACTGGGTCCAGCAGTCTATGGGAAGGAGCGGGGAGGAGCGAGAGTCGATTGGGTTTACTTCCTCTGGATCTGGGGGTGTCAGGGGCGGGCTGGGGAGAGCCCTGGGAATTGAGGGTGTCACTTCTTGAATCAAAGAGAGGAAGCCGGGCAGGCCTGGGCAGCGCTGGCCGCAGGGCGCAGGCAACCCCCCCAGGGGGCGCGGTCCTGGACCAGGGAAAGAGGGGGGGAGGAAGGGGGGTCAGGAAGGCTTCCCTTTGGGATGGAGTTGGAGGGGGGCCCACAGGAGCCGGGGCGCAGGTGGGGTGCACTTGCCGGCTGGGCACCCCGTTTTCTGCTGGCTCATGACCCTTGGGGGGGATGGGGTGTTGGGAAGCAGTAAGTTCCCCCTCTTCTCTCTAAGGTCCCCTCCCTCCCTCCCTCCCTCCTGAGTCACGGGGTGGGGCGGGGCTGCAGGGAAAAGCCACTGCTTCCCGGAGCTCACTTAACCCCTGGAGTGGGAGGTGGCACCCCAAAACCTCTCTCTGCCTATCACTTAACCCCCGGAGTGGGAGGTGGCACCCCAAAACCTCTCTCTGCCTATCTCTCCCTCTCTCTGACCTGTCTCTCGGCTCTGTTTCTCTCTGTCTCTGTGCTTCTCTACATCTTTCTCCATTTCTCTCATTGTGTGTCTGTCTGTCTGATTGTCTCCCTGTTTCTTTCTTGTTGGTCTCTCTGTCTCTTGTGGATCTGTCTCCCTCTCTCTCTAGGTCTCTCCGTCTCTTTCTGTCTCATTGTATCTCTTTCTCTGTCCGTCTGTCTGTCTTCCTCCAATGCTGCTGTCTTTCTCTCTCACACAGTGTGTCTGTCTGTCTGTCTGTCGCTGGCTCAGCTCCCAGGCTCCTTCCTGGCGCAGCTTCTGAGCACTGTGTACATGAGCCGCTCTTCGGGAAAGGAACTCCACTTCCAGGATCAGGAAGTTCCTCCCTCACTGGCCCTTCCTGTCACCCCGAAGCCCCCTCCCGCCCTCTGAGCGGAGGGGGGGTGGGGTGCCTGGCCCCCCCTCGGGGGTGGGGGTGCTGGATCCGCCGGGAAGGTGAGGTGTCCTTGCCGGCTGACTCATGGCTGCCCCGTTGTTGCTCTGAGGAACCCCTCTATCCCCCCATCACGTGACCCACAGCTAAGCAAGATATACAGTCCTGGCCAGACAGACCGAAGGGCGAAGTCTACGGTGGACGTCAGTCGTGACTTCTGCTTTTGCTTTCTCCCTACTGACGTTGGGAACAGAAAAAGCCATTTCCCTGCTGGGAGCTTAGCCTTCTAGAATGTTCTGCTGGGGGGAGGCCTTGGGAAAGTCTTCCTGTAGCTGTTACCGGAAGCGGATCCACTGCCCAGTTCTGGCCAGCTCTAGCTGTCCCTGCCCCCCTCAACTCTCTCTTCCTCCCACCCCACCCCCAAGTTCCAAACTGCCCCCCCAAACCCCCCTCCCTCAAGGAAATTTAAAAATGGGTCACGGACCTCTGAGGTACTAAGGAAGGTTTGATACACACGGATAAAGAAATTACTGCCGTACAATCCATGCCTCCCATCGGTCATCCTAGCTACTCAGGAGGCTGAGATCTGAGGATCCAAGTTCGAAACCAGCCCTGGCAACAAGAATTTTTTTTATTATTTTTTTTGGGTCCGGTTGTGGGGCCTGACCTCTGGGCCTGGGCGCTGTCCCTCAGCTCTTCAGCTCAAGGCTAGCGCTCTACCACTTGAGCCACAGAGCCACTTCTGACTTTTTTCTTTTTGCTTCTGTGGTGCTGAGGAATCGAACCCAGGGCCTCGAGCATGCAAGGCAAGCGCTCTACCACTAAGCCACCTTCCCAAGAAATTTTTTTAAAATTGTTATTACAAAGGTGATGTACCACGGGGTTACAGAGGTCAGGCACAGAGTAAATTTCCCTTTGGACAATCTCACCCTTCCCTTCTCTCCCTCTTCTTTTCCAAAATGCTACTTAGTGATCTGACATAATCCAGAAATGTTACTACTTACTCAACTCTGTGAATGCTCGCTCCGAGAACCTTCCTTCAGACGCACAATCATGCTGCCAATCTATAGTGTTGCTTTGCTAGTTCTGCCTAGCAGATACCATGATGATGAATGAAAATGACTCACGAAACAATATTATTGTCCGGGAGAGTGAGGAATGAGTTCAATCAGTACAATTAAACTGAAGGAGTTGTTTTATTTTTTCCATCTTCTATTTTTATTTATTTTTTTGACAATCCTGGGGCTTGAACTCAGGGCCTTGAGCTTTTGTGCTCAAGACTGGTGCTGTACCACTTGAGCCACAGTGCCATGTCAGGTTTTTTTTTTTTTTGGTGGTTAACTACAGATAGGAGTTCCATGGACTTTCCTGCCTGGGCTGCCTTTGACCCTGATCCTCAGATCTCAGCCTCCTGAGTAGCTCGGATGGCAGGTGTGAGCCACTGGCTCCCGGCTCCAGCCTCCACTGTGAAGGGGTCAGGTTGTACAGGTTATCTTGGGGGTGGTTTTGGTTGCAGATCCAGGAGCCGGTGGCAGGCCATCAGCAGGCAGGAAAATAACCCTGCCTCCCGCCAGGATCGCTGCAGAAAGTCAAGCACTCAAGAGTCCCGTGTCTTCACTCAGACACAAGGGAAGCCAATGACACGGCCAGTGTCTGTCCCCTGGCATTGGGCTTGCTCCATGGCACACTGTCCACTCCTGCTCCCCCCCCGAATTCCCATGGGGCTCTGGGGTTCTCCTTGAAGTCACCTCCAGTTCTGGCCTGGGAATTGTTGCTTAGGGGGATCGCATAGGCTTAGCATGGGCCAGGCTGTGCATTTTGACCCAGCAGTGCCGACAAATCAACAACAACAACGACAATGCATTCCTTTTAATCAACAATTATTCTGTCCAGCAGGGGGTTGTGCCTGGTTGGAAACTTTCACCTGGAGCCAGGCGCTGGTGGCTCACATCTGTTATCCTAGCTACTCAGGAGGCTGAGATCTGAGGATGGCGGTTCAAATCCAGTCTGGGCAGGAAAGCCTGTGAGACTCTGATCTCCAACAAACCACCAGAAAACTGGACGTGGCGCTGTGGCTCAAGTGGTAGAGCACTTGCCTTGAGCTGAAGAGCTGAGGGACAGCGCCCAGGCCCAGAGTTCAGGCCCCATGACACACACACACACACACACACAATTGGGATCAGGGGCCGTTTAGCCTGCAACTAGAGAAATGAGAACTAGCATGCAGGACTAGTAGAGGAGAAGAAAGTTCTAGAATTCACGTGGACAACTACTGGCATTCTAAGGCTACTTTCTCTGGACTCTTGTCCAGGTGCTCCTGGCTCTGCTGGTGGGGACACACCTGTCCGTGGTCTCTGGACTGGTCCTTCCCTTTGAGGGACGGGAGAAGAGGGACAGTCTGTGTCCCCCGGGAAAATACGTCCACCCCCAGAACAGCTCCATCTGCTGCACCATGTGCCACAAAGGTAGGAGGAGGGGGGCGGCCTGGGCTTCCAGAGCCGGAGTCCTGCCCCAGCCCTGCCCCTGCCGCCACTCCCTACTTCCCTTCCCCTCCCCCCTCC